CACAAAGAAGTAGGAACTGCACAGATCAGAGGTTGATCGACCGGAGCTCACTACGGTCGTCTCTGTTATTAAATGGCAGCTGTTCACCGATGAGAAGAGACATGTAAGCAGACTGTACAAGTGTTCCCAAAACGGCCCATGGCTGTATGCCTATTCATTGTAAACCAGTCTGAAGAGATGCAGTATCAATCAATTTGCATACTTGTATATAATTGCTTGAACAGATGAATTTGGCATCTGCAGTCATGTGGACTAGACTTGTGAGGGTACAAAGACCTTTTCCTGATTACAGATTTCCTTTGATTTCCACATGTTGTCACACAACAAAGCTGCATGTTTGAGATAATTTAGGTCATCCTGACTGATCTAAGACATGGGGAAAAATAACTCTGGTTTGCATTTCGTCGCCTTTACTAAAAACGTAACATTTGCATAGAACAACAATAAGATGGGACAAAATTTATCTTACATATTCTCTGATTTTCTTTTTGTTGCAGTGATGTATTTTATACAGACTGATTAATGGATGTTGAATGTGCTGCCTACATACTACATATAGTATTGCTATTCTGTAAGATATATGACGTATTAAATGTGACAAGTGAAAACTACAAAGCTTTAAATTGCAATGATAGTTTATGTAGATGGTCTAAATTCTTTAATAGAGTACATTGATACAAGAACAATTCAATAAAACTGCCAAAGCTTTTAAACAACACCTAGAGCTAAAAGGGACTGCCTTGTCACTTTTCCAAAACAAAAATGACAACCATAAAAGGTGTTGCATTTGTGGTGGGGCATTTTAGGTTGTAGTTACTTTGAAGGAAATGTTGGTATAGAGTTCAGGTTGTGGGTATGAAAGGGTACAGGAATGGTTAAATCAGAGAACTTGGTTTTTGCTTTGTCGTTGTTCCTCTCATCATTTCTGAAACTCTCCCTCTAATAAAAACAGAGACATTGAACTTTGCTGTGGGCCCATGGCCCTCGGGCTTCGTACATTTACCGAAGAGGCATAATCATTTCTGCTCTTGCAATTTTTGTTAAAGAAAAAGAAAAATAGCTGGCAAAATTATTGCAAAAGTATTTAAAAATGCAACGTCTCTCTACAAAACCTCTCAAAATTAAACGCCCAATGACAATCAATTCATTTCAGTAGCAAAACTTGCATATATGAGCAGCACTCTCTTCTATATCGATGTGCTACGTGATAATATAATGTTATGAAAGTGGATACAAATTAGGCCTCTCTATAAGACAGTGGGATCCAAATTGCATAGTGGAGAGCGTATGATGCTCTGGGACCCGAGTTTTCTTAAAGCAGCTCAGATACCAGATTAGGAGGGCAAAAACGGAAAGTAAACATTACAGGTGAAAAGCTAAACTTCTAGTAACATAACGAACAAGATATTCAGGTTTATTTGTTAATTAAAGAGGTCGACTTCTAAGAGCTCAGCATGACATTTTAACATTAGGCTGAGAGTCAGCCATTTCTCTGCAAGGATGCAAAGCACTACTTCACACCACACGAGCTAAAGCAAGCAATATTAAATATCTTGAAAGAACCACCAAATTCACTTGTGCTGAACCCAATATACACAGAAAACTGAATTCTACACACTGAAAACATGAATTTTAATTATTATTTATTTTATCTTAGACATCAAAAAGAGCAGCTTTCATTGAATGGAAGTTTTGAGGTAAGACAGTACTCATTTTCTACTGAAAAACATTTTTTTTCCCAAGTGTTAAAGGCGAAAAGTCCCACCTGTTTCATACCTGTCAATCTGAAAAGGTCAGCTCTGTCAGAGGGCGACACGCATGCAGACCAGATCCCGCTGCTCGTCTAAAGCTGATCCTCTGGCTCCACCATGTGACCGCAAAGAAATCACCCACAGCCTGCAAAAGATGTAACGTGCTAAAAGTTTAGCCGAAACTAAACGGAAACGTGTCCATTTTCACACGTACAGCTCATGAAAAAAGGAGAAATTAAAGTTCAGACTCGACGCTTAGCTTAGCATAATAGTATTTGACGTCAAGACAACTTGTTGTGTTTTTTTTTTTTTTTTTTTTTTTACAATGAGTATATTTTTCTTGTTTTACTGACAAAGTTAGTTACTGCGGCGACATACACGGTTTTAAACGCTTGAATAAAAGTTAACATTCAAGTATATTAGCCTGTTCAAACTACGCCCACGTCACCAGACACCGACAAGTCGTCCTACCTCGCAGGTGTAGCGTTTCAAGATGCTAATTAGACAGCGTCCATTATTCCCCGCTCAACACACGTCATTCAAATGGTTGATTTATCTCCTCGGTGCAGCCTCGTTCTCCGCAGTCCTGCTAATGACCTAATTATTTGACACATGAGTGTTGAAACAGAGACACATCTACAACTTGCTCCCACAGCCTGGATTTGAGGATCCCCGGCCTACTCCAAGACCTTACTCCAACTGGGAAGCTGATTTTACTTAAGCTTTTGATAAAAAGCAAAAAAAAACTTCAACCTGTATAGATGTGGGGGGAGGCACTGGGTCAAAAGAAAGAAAATATAGATTTAGGTCCCTCAAAATGTAGATTTGGGGGGGTTAAGTAGAAATGCACACATTTTAGATTTTTCAAAACCATGTATTTTTCATTCCACTTACAAAACTAGGTACACAATTGTGTTGTTTTGTCAAATAAAACCCAATAAAAAGTTTTGGAAAATTAGGTTTCTCATCTGTGGAATTATGAACAAGTTCAGTGGGTTTTGAGCATCTACTAAAATGCTTAAAAGACTAAAAATGCAATACTTAAATATGTATAATGAAAAAAAAAAAGATTTGCAATGAAGGCATAATGCATCCATTGACAAAATAAGCCTTGGAGGAAACAAAATTAGGATGAAAACAGGCAAGACAAGGAGAACAGATATAGAATTTATTCTCAATATCCATTGCAAAGAATAGGAGGTGACACAGCTTGAAACAGATAATACAGAATTTATTTTTCAACCAGAAGTAGGAAAATACATAGATAGGTGTAAAGGAAACAAGCAGAACCTGTAGTCAAAAGAAAAAAAAAAGTATAATAAAAGAATAAAACTAGTCCGAAGAGAATAAAAAGGACGGCTAAAGGATACAACAGAAAGCATTGTTTACCATTCAGTTGCAGGTTTAAACAGTATGTGTTGATTTGAAAACAGCTGCCTTGATTTCTCATCTGGGTTAATGGACATTCTACAACATTGTGCAAGTGTTCATCTCTTTTTTTTTCCTCTTTTTTTTTTCCTTTTTTTGCTGGTATTTTATGAATGGTAAACAATAATTGGTCCAGTGCATAAACACAGTGACACAGATCAATATATGTACTCAGCTGACTACAGATAGACAATCCTGATCATTGAACAACTACCACTAAAATTGGCAAGGAGATGAGCAAATATACAAAATGGGTGATAAAAGAGAGAGGAAGTGTTGGGGGAGGAGGAGGGCAAAAAGGGTTCAGGTAGGCAAATTTAAGATGAGCAAAACAGTTTTGAAGGATTAAACGGCTACATTTTAAAGATTAAAACAAAATGGCTGAAAGTGAAAGTTTCCGATTATTATTGCCAAGTTTAGCTGATGGAAGGACAAATTAAATGGGATGAGAGAGAAAACGACTTTGCTTTTCTTACAGCCCTACTTTGCATGAAGATGGAGGGTTTTTTTTATTTTTTATTTTATATATATATATTCTTTTTAAATGAGAGAAATGAAAAGGGTTGATTGGTTTAAGAGTTTCCTCTACAACACAACTGTACTAGAAGCAGCTTTGGTTTGCACTGTTACAAAAAGATGCAGCCAGCAGACAAAATAAAATAATAATAAAAAAAAAACCCACTAAGTTAAATAAGCCTGAACAAATAGAAAGCTTCCAACGTGATGACCCACTTGGTGGCAAATCCAGCTCTAATTTGACAGATCTTTAGAAGAAACAAGAGAAGTAACAAAGAAACAGATTGGTGAATCGATACCGTCACTAGCTAGTTTAACAGACTGAATTACTGTAAAGCACAAGATCAGAATGAGATGGGACTAGAAGTATGGGGGAAAAAAAAAAAAAAAAATCACAGGACCGGTCTAGCGGCACATCATTAGCATTTGCCGTACAAACACGTTTTTTACTCTTTTGTAATTTTTTTAACACCCGTCAAAAAGTATTTGCTAGTACTGAATTGCAGCCACTAGTGAGACAGCTCTGCTGCCCTAACCTACGGACACCAGCACTCTCCAGCTGGTGCAAAGAGACAGCCAAAGTAAAGCTGAAAAGCTAAAAAAAAGGGAAAAAAAAACAAAAAAAAAAACACACATCCGTGTGTCAGGTTTTAACTGATAGTTACTTCCTTCTGCGACGCATCTTCGGAAACCTTCGACCTCTCCAATCAACCCATCGAGACAACGTGTCGTGATTTTGACAGAGGATTTGGTTTGTGGTGGAAGGGATTAAGAAAAGTCAAAGAAGGGTAAAAACAATGCAGCAGATCATCATCGTCATTGTAGAAATCATGATTTACACAAACACCCAAAATTCTGTCTTTTTAGAAAGGAAATAAGAAGTACATCTTTTATTCACACTTTTACAAAAAAAAAAAAAAAAAGACAAAAAAAAAAGAAGCTACCCTTTAAATCTACTACAATACTAATGCCATTCAGGAAAAAAGAAAAAAAAAATCAATTTGGATACATTGATTTTCACCAAAAGAAAAAGGAGAAAGAACGAGAGACAGGGACCAAGTTGACACTTCCCATTTTCTTGCTTATTCGACATAAAAAAGTTCTTGTTGGAGTATAATAAGAGCTGCATTCGAATCATTTAAGTGCATTTCAAATAATAATCTCACATTTAACCGATTTCAACTTGTTTTTGAGATGGAACAAATTTGATTAACAGAAACTTGACAGGCTGGCCGTTTTGACAGAAACAGCAGGAATAAAAAGAACAAATGGGCTCTTCCACCCTTTCCAATGCAAAGGCAAGAGGCAGGGGTGGTCCACAAATGGCACTATAGCTGCAATGACAATTGTAGAAAATCTATACAAAAAAAAAAAAAAGTGGGGCAAGGGAGGTTAAAAAAAATTGAGAAGAGTAGCAGGAAAAAGTCTGAGGTTGGATGGTTTATGGTGGGGGTGATGGATAAAAGCTCAGGGCTATTTGTGGCCAGGAAGGAAGCTAGGAGGGATTAGGTAATCTGGGGGCAAAAAACCCCAAAACAAAACAAAAAACGTTCCAAGTGAATTTATAAATTCATGTTCCGTATAGTGGAGGAGAGGGGGTGGGTGGAGAAAGCATACCTGATTACTAGAGAGCTCAATGAATAGGAAGGATATACACATCATCATTACATTGTCACATCTCATAAAAAAAAATGAAATAAACATTAACAAAAAGAAAAAAGAAAAAAAAAAAGAAAAAAAGGACATAAAATCTTCACAAATGTCTCAACAGTATTTAAAAATAAAAGGAGAGGAGGCTGCTCGGGCGTTCGCCGCATGCAAATAGTGCAAGACAACATCAACTGCTACAGTGAGTTCGGGGCGTACGCGCGGGACTTCTCCGTGTTGTGTCGTTTACACTTCGCTTTGGAGCCAGATGAACAGATGCGAATCGGTGCTGCGTGACGTTTCGTCCAAACCGTCGGCAGCAGCCTGGATCGTTTGCTTTGTTAATGGGCAGAAAGCAACAGGTAAAAAAAAAAAAAAAAAAATCAACTGTCTATTTACATCAAAGCAAATCAGCCAAAACAATACTGATGCGTTACAGTTAATCTCTCGGGAGTGCAAAGAAGAGACGGCGAACGCGGCGAGCAGCCTCCTCTTACGTCTTTTGTACAAGCTGGTAATATTAATTCATCTCAACATTAACTGGATAAAAATTTAGCCATAGTTTACAATACAATCTTTTTTTTTTTTCTTCTTCTTAATCTGACCATAATTTACTCTTCGTACAAAAAAATGCCAGAAAACAGGTCTTTTTGTGGTTCATATACAATCATGTAAAGACTGAGTCTAAGGTTTCTATTCTGTACAAACACTTGTGAAAAATCACTGCTTCTATGTGTGAACGTATGGCTGGGGGTGACGGGGGCAGGGGGAGGAGTCACTACTGGCCTTGGAGACAGTGCTACACATCTGCCTGAAAATTACCTGCATGTGTGTGTGTGTGTGTGTGATGTTGCATGAGTGAAGTTGGAGGTCATCTCCTGATAGAGAGAGGAATGCTGGTTTTACTCGTCAGCCATTTTTCACTCTCTGGCAAAACGCAAATGACGTCAATGAAAAGGTCTGTGAAAGCCCCCCTACCTCCCATCGCTTCGCCAGTCGGCCTAGGTCCCTCGCTCCTTACTCTAAAAAAGGTGATTCTTGGGCCACATGAGCTCCTAAGCACATGACTAGCATAACAACTATACAAGCCGGGGTGAAACTGTCTGCAAACAGGATGGTAGCTGCTCTCAGTTTCTCACTTTTTCCTTTTTCTCCGAACTGCCGATGTCACGTAATTCTGCTTCTTATGCACCAGGACCAGGGGGTCAGAGGTGTGGACTATCTTGTAGCACCGCAGGAGGCCGTGACCACACAAAAAAGGCCTGAGCACCACAGAATGACAGCAGGAAAGATCCCCTCGGATCAGCTGCGGCGCATCCGCTTTGCTGGGATGCTTAGCTAGAGATGAAAAAGTTGCTTCAACCCGAAGCCCAAATGTGCGCATCTTGGAGAGGCCGAGAATCTACGCCGGCTGAGTACAGATGGCTAGCGAGCACGAGCCAAACATGGAGGGAACTGAGACTGACAAGTCTGCTGTCTTTGCTGGTTTTGGATTTATACAGGGACAGACAGACAGCTCTGCAGCTTTTCAGCTAAATGTCACCCACTCAGCCGCTTTTTAAGGTTCCCCATTAAAACCACACAGAGCCTCATGTGATGAATCTGAATGAGCTACCATCCCCTCTAGCTTGAAAGACAGGAAAAAAAAAAAAAAATGTATGCAGGGGTGGGGTGGGGGGGTTGTGAACCGGATGAGAAGAGGAAGTCCAAAACACGTGATGCATAAACAGGACTGAACCAAGCAGTTAAAAAAGGGCGTAAAAAGAAGGGGGGGAAAAAAAAAAAAAAAAAAAAAAAAAACACAAAGAAAAAAAGAAAAATATAGAATATCTATAACATTTTATACGAAATCCCTGTCAGCCAGACCTCACTGTACGAATATTTTACAGGTTGTGTTGTTTTTCGGTCTTCCTCCTCCAGAGGCGGCGGAGGTAAGAGCTGGTAGAGGGGGAAGCTGTGGTCGCAGCTCCCCCTGGTGGCATGGCAGGGTCTCACTACCTGCGTGCGGGCAGGTGCAGCCCGTTGACCTGGGAGGGCACATTGGGCAAGAGCAACTCCAGCTGAGCATAGAGGGAGAAGTGGTCAGAGGGGATGTGGGGGTGTGGGCAGCCGCTGACATTGTTCTCTACGAGCCAGTGAGGGTCCAGGGGGCCCAAGATGCCCAACACGTTCAGATGAGGCTTGGAGTAGAAAATATAGTCGATGACACCCTGTGGGACAGAAGGATTGCAGTGAGGAAACAAAATGATTTGTGCTGCTCAAGAGTTATACAAATAAACTCACCGTCGCTGGCATTAACATCAATTTGTTTTACTTTTTTTTGTCAGGAATTTCAAGCATTTTCTTTCCATGTAAAGTGGAACGCAACTCTAATGAATTTTAAAAAACAGAATGTACACCAGATTTCCGCTAACCCAAACAGGTTTGAAATTATACATGCAGCCTGAAATGCAGACAAAAACCGTCATTTCTCAGCAAGACACAAAGAAACGATTTTGTAGCTGCCTCTGGCATAATTGCCGAATGGCAAAAATGGTACCCGATTCTTGGTTTTAAAGAAAAAGATTAAAGATTAAAGACAAGGGTACAAACTTGTGTTTTATTTATCTAATTACCTTAAAGTCGAAGGTGTAATTGGTGTAAGGCATTAGGCCGTTCTCATAAGCACTCTTGAGCTTGAAGCCGTGGGTGATCCTGCCATTAGAAGTGCTGTTCTTGCCGTTGCAGTTGAATTTGGTCAGGCTATCGCTGTAGCGAAGCTCCTTGAAGTCCTTGTGGGTGCAGTCCACTCCGCCTGAACTCAGGTACTCGACTACACCTGAGGAAAAGAACGTGACACATGAACCGACACGTTTCCTACTGTGCTGGTCTGTTATTTAAAAAAAATAAATAAATAAATAAAAATCCTTTTTTCTTTTTTAAATCCAGGATTTTGGGCTGTTTGTTGTCTGTGTTTCCAATGACATACAAACTTTTATGTTCATGGAAATGATCTCTACCGACTCCTTGGCTACTGCCGTCGTTTCCACCTGTGCATGTCCTGGACGGAGGGGGAAATCAGCCCTGACGATCCGCTCTGCTTGTTCTTTTTATTTTGAAAAGAGGAGGTTCACTACAAGCAGTTGGACTTGGCTACACTCTGTTTATCTGCATTTCTAACCTAATCTGCCTTAATCCTGGTTTATGCAGTGTAAATAGAGCAACAGTCCCCAGAAGCAATCTTTATTTTGAAAAGTTTACTACAGTTAAAAGAAAACATAGCTTACCTCTTCCAGAAATACAACACCAAATATATCTTTCTTACAAGTTTCATGGTGTAATAATCTTGAGTATCAATTGTTTTGTTTAAGACAGAAAACAACAATGAATTGAATGGAATTATACAAGTTTTTAAGTCCAGCAAATGTTTCCTTTTAATTATTCTGCTTGGTCTAACCAGACGTTTAGTCTGACTTCTTGCACTGGGGCCTTTTTTTTCTCAGCAGCACCAGAACAAACGCCAGATGCAACCAAATCTTCAACAGCATCAAATTTAACTTCACAGTTGTTGTTTTTTTTTGTTTGTTTGTTTTGTTTTTATTACTGTCCATAAAGGCAACATTGATTCGTAAATGATTTATTATCTAGTAAACAAAGATATTGTTTTGAATCAGAATTGCACAAGACTGGATATCATCAAGATAAAACAAATCAAAATTATATGAAGAAATAGAAGAAAATCTAAATGAGTCCAAATGTTTCAACACGAACATCTCGCTACGGTCAAGCCATTTTTAGATGAAAGAATTATGTCAGACTTGGGGAACTTAGTAAAGAGAAGTTCTGCAACGTTAAACTTGATCATCATTCCTCCCTCTGGTGAGGTTCGCTGCTGCCTGCAGCTTAAAGGGGAAAACACGGGGAAGGCGATGCATGCAACGCGTTTTATAGACACTTTGTGCTTTTTCAGCGTTTTCATCCAAAACCGTGTTCATGACTGGTTCATTAACATGCACTTCGATAAATTTGTGAATGCACACGTGGGGTTTTAAGTGCATTTGACTCACGGGTGGCACTCACACCCATGAGAAGGTGCAAGCGCCAGAACACATTTTGAGTGAGCGAGCGTAGAATTTATAAGCAAGCGCCACAAACGATCGCTTGTTGAAATATGGACGTGCGCTCACGTCAATCTCGCTGCACGCGCTCCGAATGGTGGCACAAATGCAAAGCCATAATTAGCAGCGCAATATGGCGACACTAGAAAGAAAAGGCAGTACTTGAATGGAAGCTGTGGGATCAATTAAAAACACCCACATCCCCATAATTATAACAGTCATATAAAACTGTTGCTCTGGCTTACTTACCAGACTCGGGTAAGGAGTTGAGGTCAGCACACAGCACCACTGGAATGGCATTGGTCTCACCAGAGGTGGACAGCTTGAAGCTGCGTGTTGCCTTGTCCACGATATTCTTCACCTCCGACAGGAACATCATGGTCTGGACCAGCTTGACATCCGAGTACTCGGGATCCCAGTGCATGTGGGCGTTTGCCACCAGCAGGAGCTGCTTGTCCAGGCCGTGGAGTGACTTACCAGCTAAAAAGATCAATCGCGAGCATATTCACAACATGTTCTTATAACAGAAGACACATTTATGCATCGTAGGCCTCCTTAAACTACAACAGTTTTGAGTTACAGACCATAGCCGCGCAAGGATCAATAGTAAAAGCAAAGCAAAGACATAGGAGGTCAAAATACGCAAGAATTCAAATAATAAAGATGAGGAAAAAGAAAAAACTACTCACAAGACATTTCCATCATCTCTTTGCGGACTTCAAGCAGCACAGCTACTCCAATGTTGTCCTTGGTCATCACCCTGTTCAGCATCGCCTCTGAGCCTTCGGAGTTAGCCATGGCCAGCTGGTTGAACTCCACTGTGTGCTTCTGCACAGCGCTGAATCTAGAGTGAAAGGAAGAAATACAAACATTTTGAAGGCAATTGGAAGAATAAATGGTTTTTAAAACCAAGTATATCTTTTATGGTATGTTGTAAAAGGATGAAATCCAGGTCATTGGCAAAGAAAGAATATTAAAATTTAAACTGTGCTTTATGGGAGTTCAAAAATGACTCAAGAGGGTTGTTTTTTTTTTTTTTTAAGCAACATAATTAAAAAAAAAATACAAGTTTGAACCCAACAAAAATAAAATAATTTAAGAGCCACATTTTGAACATGTTTTAAAAGGAGAAAAGCTCTTTGTTGGCTCTCAATGCATTAATTACTTCTTAACGAACAAGATTTTTTTTTAAAACGTCTCAAGTAACAAAATAAGATATAGAGGTCTGTGTGCTCTCCAAGCTCGGGTATGGACAGCAGCAGCAGAGTGCAGAAAAAGCTACAGAAACGGCTGCTGATGAGCCAGAAAAAACAAAACAAACAAAAAAAAAAAACATTTATTGATGCTTTTTTTTTAAGCTGCTGAATGCTAACATGTTTGTTTAACACCAGAGTTTGGTAGAGAACCCAAAAATTGTATTGAAGGATGAGTGGCACAGCTTTTTGAAACTCAAGTAAAAGTACAAAGTTTCTACTCAAGAGGAAAAAAAGTATTTGGTGTAAGTGCTGCTCAAGGACTGAATAACTGATTAGAACATCTGACTTAACATTTTAAAATGACGTCAGACAAACAGCATAAATTTATGCGCAAACTTAGGTATTTTCAAGACAAATAATAAAATAAAAAAATGTATACATTTTTGATATTAAACTTACCAAAGCAATACAATAAGTAATGCAAACGCATGTTAGAACAGGGTAAAGAATTTCCACTGAGAGCGTTTACTGTATTTCACTTTCACATATCCGAGATAGAAACTAACATCAAAACAGCAGCGCTGGTGTTCAAACAAAAACGAAAAAAAAAAAAAAAAAACTTTACTCAAGCAGAGGTATTTCACATAATGTTACTCAAGTAAAAGTAAAAAGTACTGTGTAGTAAAACTACTCTTACAATTATTTTGTTTCCCCAAAAACTTGCTCAAGTAAATGTAAAGTAATGTAATTACCCACCCATGTTAATCCAGTTAATATGGATTAACTGCATCCATGTGGATGCAGTTAATATGTCGACTTTATGCAGAAGCTCAAATTATTTTCACTTCATCTTGCATAAAAAAAATTACATTTAATAATTGTGAACTCACTGTGAATGCCTAAATTAATTAACTTTTAACAAGACAAATGCCTAATTAATACCTCTTAAGTTTTTAGAGCCTTTTAAAGCTTTTAGATTTTTTAATGCCATTACATTTTAGCTTAATGTTTAATAGAAATATTGTCTCCTCTGGAGCTGTGTTGTGACTGAACCTGGACTTGTTTCTGTTTATTTCTTCTTTGCTTTAATCATATTTACATTTGGAATTTTTATGTTGTTTTATTCATTAGCAGAAATAAAATTAGCTTAATTAGACTCGTTCTCGTTTTCCCAGATGTGGCACCGCACATGCATGTTCATTCATAACTTGAAAACCTGTTGACATTTCATTCGAAATGGTGTCAGAATGCCAAAACTAAAGGTATAAAAAAAAAAATTAATCCAAGCTGAGAAGAAAAATGCTGATTATTTTCTTCTCAAAAGAAAGAAATCTATTGTCTTATAGATTTCTTTAAATATTCTGATTCAAAAATAAAACAGCCGCCAACAAACAGACTTTTTTTTTTGTTTCCCCCCCAATCTATATTTCCAGCACTCTACAGGAATAATGTTGGCACTACTTACTTTTCTGTTTTGAAGAAGATTGCACATCCGTCCACATGTTTACGATCCGACTCGGACATCGTTCTAGCTCGTGACTTTGGACTGAAGAACCCGTCGTATCCCTGCTCTTTCAACTCTGGTAAGAAGAAATTGAAGTACTGCTCCGTTTCCACTTCCTGCGAATTAACAAGATAAAATAAGTTGCTAATGGGACGGTGCACATTTCTGAAACCCCAAACAAATCCATCCGTTTATGAAATGTTAGCTACAGGCATGTTTTACGGAGATATTACTATAAATTGAAACATGTTCAAAAATTATTCAACAACTGTGAACGATATCTTTGTAGTGGAATTACATTATTTAAGGCAGAAAATTTATCTAGCTCTAGAAAAGTGTTATGATGGCACTGGAGCAGAGACCCCAGTATCTGGGGGAAAATAATTAAGGCATATCCTCCACTTAACAATTGTTCAGATTTACTTGGGGACAACAATGTTTGAATTTGACAATTTTGTTTTGCTATTTGGGGAAAAAAAAAAAAAAAAAAAAAAAAAAAGCTAGATTGTGTTGCAGAAATTGTGCATGTGCATAAATGTGAATAACTTTGTTATCCCTTTGTCTATCCAGTGTATTCCAAGTTTGAGCTCCGATATAAAGGAACAGCTAGGCGATTTCTCCCTCTCTTTGTGGTTGATAATTATAATCTCAAATGGATCTCATGTAAGTTTACACACCTGAGTTTGTGTGTTTTATAGTTCTTAGAAAAAGGAACCACAACCTGACTATGACATGACTATGTTAGTTTGTGAATCATTAGCAGCAGAAAGATCGTAGGATTGTCCGGAGGTCAAATTCTATGCATTGTAGTTCTAAGCTCTCACTTTGATTTCTCCTTTTTCCTTCGGCTTCATGAAAAAAAAACTTGTGATACGGGGAAGAATTTGTTACTCGTCTTCATAATTACGCTGTTGCAATGCGCTAGGATTTAGTTAGCATTAACATAAATGAAATACATAAAAGCCATATTTAGTTATGACACAAGTTAAAACTTTTGATTGCCCATTAAACACATCATCTCAAACTGACGCAGAAGACGGTGCTTAAACGAAGGTGGGGGAATTTCACCGCTCAAAGAGCACAAACTGCTAAATCTCACTAAACTACACAAGGAAAACATCTAAAGCTTTCTTTTTCTTATCCTCACTGCGGGCAGAACAAACAGCAGTCAGCGTTAGCCAAAAGGCAGCTGTTGTGTTTAGTAGAGTTGTGCAAAAAAAAAAAAAAAAAAAAGCACTGATATATATAACAATCTTGATTTTGCTGAAAAGATGATGTGAAAGACTAAAGAGGTCACAGAAGATCATTATCAGCTGCTGATGACGTTTCTAAAAGTTACCGATTTGATAGATTCAGTTCACACAACGTTTTTGTTCATTTCCTGGCAGATGAATGTACAAAGTAATACGTGCTGTGTGTTTATTTCAGAAATTGCATGTTTATGAACTATTACAATTAGATTTTTCTATGACTGTACACATTAAACCTTAAAAATTAACAGGGTTTGATTTTTAATTTGTTCCCCCCCCATCTTTGACAAGTTCTGTAGCAACAATTCATCTGCCCAGGTCACTGATAACGCTCTACTGCCTAAGGCGGTGGGGTTGGGTGGAGTCCGTCCCAGCAGACACTGAGAGCAAGAGAAGCGGTGCATAAAGGTCCAATGCATGAGTCCCACAGGTAAGTTTATATACTTCTCACATTCATGCGCAGATATTTACAATAAGCAAATGTTGCATGCAAATGTTTGGACCAGGAAACCGGCTGAAATCTGCACAGAAAGGTCAGAGCCAACCAGCAAACCTGAATGCAGCTTTTTCAATAGCATTAAACCCCAGTCGACATTGGCAGATGGAGACAGAAAACTACACGCAGCATTTACATATCCCAAACAAGTGGCTGCTTATGGAACGTAATTAAGTTATAATTACAACATTTCAAAACTGTCTGGGTACAAAAGAATATGGCTCTTTAAAAGCCCCAAAGAAACGGAGAAATTTACAGGAGAAGGAACCGTCGCCTAACCGAGTGGTCAGGAGCAAAAAATATTTATCCCATGAAAAAAGCCATCAGAAATCACACAAAAAAATACGTTTTAGTAAAGTGTCTCAAATTGAATGCCAACAGCTTAAATTTTTATGCTGATATTATGTGAAGACTCATCACTTAACACAATTATTAAACATGAAATGGTAGAATATAATTCAAGAGCACTTTGAAAAATGTTTAATAGTTTTTAGTTAAAAACCTTTACAGTTTTGTAATCAATAAAAAATAATAAAAAAAAAAAATACTCCTACTTTCTTCAAACTAATAAGATGGGTCCACAACAAAAATATGCACTTCGCAAAGAAGTTTCAACCAGTGGGTGAAAGGGCATCTACTGCTATAACTACCTTTAGTTACAATAAGTAAAATGTTTACTTTCATTAGATTTCTTCACTCTGTTAGAACTCATTACCAACAACAAAGTCACTGTATGAACATCACACCATGTGCTGGAAATTAGTGGGACACATAAGTGGCACTCTAATACCAACGTCACGCTAGTGCCTGGATGGATCGCCTTTGCTTTCAAAACTGCCTCAACCCTTCAATGGCATGAATTCAACAATGTGTCGGAAATATTCCTCACATATTGTGTACCGGCATGACAGAATTACAGGTCCTGCAGATTTGTCGGCTGAATATTCATAAAACTAATATCCCGTTCCACCGCGAATTAATTTAACGTTCAGCATCCATAAATTAAACAGAGAACCGCTTGCAGGGGTGTGCCTAATAAAGTGTCAGGGTGAGTGTGGAGTGATTTACTGGAAAAGCTTATTTTTAAGCAGACAGTTTGAACATTAAAAACAAAGGAAAAAGGTTTTGGATACATTCATTTTTGAGTTATTCCAGTCAGGTCATAAAGCAACACAGCTTTCTAAATAATTGAGTGAAAATCTTTTCTCTCATTCCAACAACAATGATTCATCTATTCATTCCCTACTGTCTAGTTCCATTAAATCCAGAGGGTAAAAGAGGTTCAGTTAAGTAATGTTTATTTTATAAAAGTGAGGTACAGTCTAACCTGACCTGTATGTGATGTTTTGCTGTTTTTTTTTTTTTTTTTTTTTGAAAAAACCCTTACGTAAGGCACCACATCATGGGGAGTGATACTTAGTGTAATCATGTGATGTAGCGCCAAAATGGTCTCTTTTCACAAAAAAGTTGTTTTTAAAAACTTTTTGGAATTAATTTAATGAACAAAACAACTTTTTGAACGTTAAGCATCACTTATTTTTTTCTTACCTGCAAACTGATGATGTCTGCGTTGCAGCCGAGGATTTCCTGCATGATAGATTTCTTCCTGTACTCCCAGTTCAGAGCCCAGGAGGGGCAGTAGCCGTATAGCTGTCGTGTGGCATACTTATCGCACAGCACATTGTAACACATAACTGAGAACAGTGCTATGAAAGGGAAACAGACACCAAAAGAAATGCACTTAGTTGAACAGAAATGAGCCAAGTCTTCATATGTTGCCGATTTGTACAGAAAAGAAGAAACCCTCTGTAGCTTTAAAATGTGTCATTAAACAGAGTTGCTACAGAAAATATTAAACATTAGTATGATAATATCTTATACTAATTTGACAAGTTGACTTTCACTTTGAAATGTATATATCAGCCTTATTTTTGTGATCCATTTTCAAGAGCAACAAACTATAAAGGTCCCACAGATGAAAATAAACCGGATCTTGCTTCAACATGTATAAAATGTAAGAAAGGGGGTAAAAAAAACAACAAAAAATAATAATAAAATGAAACAAAGGGGGAAAACCCCCCCCAAAAAAACCATGTCTAACATTTGTTTACAGTTACGTTGTGTGTACATCAGCCTTACTTGCTGGACGTGTTCGGTCTGGTTCCTGGAGCGAGATCCATGACCTGGCTGGTGGCTGCTCTGTTGGTACTGTTCAAAAGAGGGGAAAAACAGGTCAAAACTAATAATAATAATAATAATAATAATGATAAAAAAAGTGTTTAAAATTTGTTTTTGAGTGCAGAAATTTGACATATTTTTTATGCACATAATATCGCAAAAGAAAACCAAAAACAAACTTCTGGCTCCAGTCTCGGGTTAGCAGAGGATGCTAAATACTCACTGCGCTTAATAGCCCCTGCCAGATTGTCTAACAAGTAGCTGAGCAGTCTCCGTGTGCCATCAGGTTCCTGATAGAGGCTCATAATTTCTTGTGCAAGTGGGTTTCCTGGAACGGAAAAGATAATCGGCCTGTATCAAGTACCCAAAAGAAAGAAAAAAAAAAAAAAAAAACAGGATTTAAGGCTTTAAAAAAATAAAAATAACTTGTGCAAGCCACTTACCTTTTAACCCCAGTGTCTGTAACTGAAAAAGTTTCCCCAATTCAAACGGGAGAACTCGCAACTGGTTGTTATTTAAAAGCAATTCCCTGCAGAGGACAAATAAGGATTGGATTAAAAAAAATAAAACATTATTATTATCTTGGAGACTGTTTACCACATTCCCTGTGGTAAGATTTGGACCAAAACCTTCACACTCCTCAGCGTTTATGTAATTAAATAATAAACAGAGTCCAAATGCACAAGCAACTTGTGGTGGCTGCCCTCTTTATCTCTGCACTAATTGCATTATGTAACCTGGCATCACCGACCTGAGAGACACCATGTTGCCGAGCTCTGCCGGCAGGCTCCTGATCTTGTTGGATGAGAGATCCAGGTACACCAGGTTGTGTAGTTTGGCAATGTCTGGCGGGATGCGTGACAGAGAGTTGTCACTGAGGTGCAGGGCAGTGAGGTGGGTGAGAGACCACAGGGCTGTGCTGAGACTCCTTACTCGTCCTGAAGAAAAAAACGCAAAGGACAAAAATGTAAATGCATTTACTGTCTTGAACAATTATACATTTTTCAACTACAGCTAAAAAAGACAAAAAAAAAAAAAGGGAGCCGGGGGGGGGGAACTTAAACAACTTCATAATTTAAGATTACTATTATCTTAAATTATGGTGGTATTATCTGCACAAGGAGGGGTTGCAAGGTAAACCTAAAGCCAGATACTGGACTTTGAAACATCGAATCAGAAGGACAATGCCACATTTGGAGAAATGTCTTTGCCCCCCGGTCTTTCAAAACAGACGCATATGCAGTGAAGCTCACTTTTCTGTTTACATACAAACTCAGATTCACACAGAAAAATTGGTTATGAAACACATTTTTGCAGCGTAACTACCATTATAAATATTTACCATGACAACCCTCCTCCCCCAAATTAAAAAAAAAAAAATCTACTGAGCAATGTCTTGGCAAGAGTTTTCATCGATATGGAGTTTGTGTCAGATAAACAATCGGAGCAGATGGCACTCAATACCTCTACAAAAGACACACAGGCAGACACTGAAATTTAAACATTTTTCTCATTCCACCAACTGACAATATGCCACATAATCATTTTTACGATAATAATGCAGCATCAATCATGTAACCAGCAAACAGCCCAGATCTCAATCTACTTTAGAACTTCTGGTGAAAATCGAAGGTAAAGAGGATTACAAGACTCCATCTGAGGAACATGACCGACGAAAAATCATTTCATTAGTGAATTTCAAGAACCTGACTTTTTTCCCCCTAAAGATCAAATGATCACGTTATTTACCTTCTTGATTTAAAAAAAAATTCTATATATTTTTTTTGCTGACTATTACGTTTTTTTTTTACAACAAAAAAGTAAAACTCACTGAACAGCGTCCAGCAGCAGCAATTCTGTATTATTTTCCATAATGTAAAATAAGCAATAAAATCATAACATTTCGTGTTGACATATTAAAACAATGGAATACTTTTTAGTATGACAAAAAATTGGGGTTTATTTATACATGTTCTACTGATTACAAAACGTATATAAATAACATCAGAGAGTACATAGCTGGCTTTTGCCCTCTAATGCGTTTATTGAGGATTATGGTACCAACTGTGACTTCTACTGAAAAACCTTTTATTGGCTAATTTGGTTTGAAGTTTTGAGATTTCATGATGATAACAGAAAAAAAAAAAGTATTTCTCTTCATGGTTTTTTTTTTTTTGAAGTTTTGGTTTGAAAGAATTGTGTTCAAATTTACGTAAATGGAATGGAACGTATTAAAGCAACTTGCATGTGTGCCAGGTAATGTTTTCAGTTACCTTAACATGAAAAGATAAAACCGATTCGAGATATTAGTTCATTAATTTGATGGTATTGGACAGATGTTTAATACCATCCATAAATAGACATAACTTAGACAATGTTAGGATTAATTATATTGTTTACATTGAATACACACTGAATACCTTTTTGTATATTGCAGAATATTCTGTTGCTTTTAATAAAAGTAAGAAAATATCGTGCGGTAACAAATATGAACAAATATAATAGGGCTATTACATGTCAGTTCACCTTAGATCCTCTAAAGTAAATTAAGGGACATAAACAATCAAACTTTTTACTTTTCATATTGTGTGGCTATCAAAATTTTTCATCACACATTGCTGGAATTATTTGGGGTATTTAAATCTTCTTATAGTCATAATTCTTTGTTTTGACATAAGTGTTGAAAATATAGCCAAGAAATCAACTGACAAAAAAATCAATTTGCTAATGACATGAACAATACATTTAACTGAGAAACAATTAAAACCCCCAGTCTTAAAGGTTGCAGACAGAATAAAGGTTTTCCGGTAGGAAGCACAAAACAATCACGGCAAGATCCTCTGCATTTCCTATACAGAAGACACTTACCACTAATTTCCAGCTCAGCCCAGTATGACTTCTTCCCATTTGCTGCCTCCTCGCTGGACATAATTGTGTACATCCGCCTGGGATCGGGCGGGTCATATTTTTCCTTGGGCATTCCTATAACACTACAGAAATCGTGTGTAATAAAGCTGTCAGTGGTAAATATGAAAAGTCCGTCAATATGCAATAAATTGCAAGACATAGTTTTGGCCTGAAACCATAGTTCAGTAACCCTATCTACAGGAAGATGTGGCTGTCAATTTTATTATTCAACAAATCTGCAGACAAGTGTCAACACTTATTAAAACCGTTCAAAAAATGTTATCAAGATCTTGATCTTAACTGTGCATCAGAAGCAGTATTTACTAAGTGAAACGTGCCACAGATTGCTATAAAGACTGATTTCTTTGTTGTTACATAAGTTAAAAACGGAACACCTAGAGAATACATTATAGAATCTTCCCGCCAGATTTAGAAAAACGGCAATTTTACAACCAAACAAGGTTTTGTTCTGGATAAAATAAGAAACTGGACAGCTAAAAAGCCAAGATAAACAACGCTGCTGTCACCGATTGTTCTCCTCGGTGACGCTAACTGATTAGCCTAGCTTAACCTAAATTGGCAGCTATCGGACTACATAACAAAGCCAGATCCCCAACTACCTCGCAGACTAACAATCTGGTGAAAAGGCCAACTTAAATTAGTATTAAACCTTGGTTCCCATAGTCCGAAGCCCTTTCGAAAAACGTCAAAAACAATATGTTGGACAAATTTGAAAATATAGTGTGCACTTGTTTACATAATGGCACAGCACTGAATTGCGCATAAACACAAGGCCACGAATACACACAAACCACTACTTTCGCCTACTATTTTTTCCAAAAACAATAATAATTGCTACTAAATGAAAAAAAAAAACAAGCACCTGCGCTCTTAAAACAGGCCCGAAACGATTAACTTGAAAGCAACTGCGAGCTATGTAGCTTAGCCTGGCTAGCCTACAAGCTAAAAGCTAACATCTCAATTATTTGAAGCTGACCGAGTTCCTACTGAAATACTTTGCTACACGAAAGGAGAGCTGTGTACATTAAAGACAAAGATGTTTGATGCGATGAGAAAGAACACGTTTACATGAATACAATGGTATAACACAGAGGGTTTCATTTTACCTGCAAGAGCATACCAAATCGCGAGGACGACTGCGTGTTCTCTTTTGTTTTCTAGCTACTTCTTCCCCGTTTCCGCTGCTGTATCATGGCGACTGTAAGGATTTTTTTTCTCTCGCTCGATAACAGCGCTGCATCCTATTGGCTGCTGTCGAGAAGGTCCAACCAGCTGTTGAACCACAATAAATAGAAACCTATGCTTTTAGATTGGTGGACCATTTTGTGATGGATAGACAAACACGGAAATGTGCAAAAAATTTACAAATGTGCCTGAAGGACCACTTTATTCAAAAACTCTGTGTGAAAGTAGTGTGGCATAAACAGGAAACTGAACCCGTAAATAACTTCTTGATTTCCTGATAAAATAAATTAAAACTTTAATTTTCACTTTAAGCAAGTCACAACTTTAAAACAAGTAACTGTGCAAATGAACACGCACACAAGAAAACCAATTATAAATTACAATATGCATCTTCATTCATCTGATGAATAAAACGAGAACCGAAAGTCTTTTTTTTTCTTTCAAAATCAACACTGACAGACATCCAACAGGTGATCCTGAAGATAAGTTAGGGACTCTTCCACATGAAGAGGTAAGGCTTCACCGATGTCCTGTTGGGATCTGGACAGGAAAGCATTCACTGCTTCTTGAACAGCAGACTTTGACACCATGTCGTCTGGCTTGTAAACTAATGTGGCCTCTTTGCCTATTTGCTCAAAGGTAGAGCTGGTCAGACAGCCTGTGGACGACAGATGACAAACTGTGAGTAGGGAATAAAGTAAAGCAAGAAGTTGAAGAACACAGGTTGTGAATAAATGACAGAATTTTATGAGGGGCTGTTTATTAGCTGTCGGTATATTATGGGAAATACACAGCAGTCAGAACACACATTATTTAGGTAACAGTTTTTGCAAAAAATGACTATTAAATGGAGGTCAAGCTGATTGTCTAGAAAATGCAATTTGACCGCTTGCTTTCCTGCATCAAGGGTAGGATACCCTGATTAGGCTTTTTATGCTCAATACTGATTTATGTTTTTTTTTGTTTGTTTGTTTTGTTTTTTCACCTGCCCATTCTAGTTTCAGCTGATTATGATTTCAAATGAAAAAATTTTTTCTTAAATGTTAATACCAGCATCAACCTAATTTTATGCATCACAGTGTAAGCCCCAATTCTTTATCAAGTATACAAATATGAAACAGTAAAATATACTTTTTGACCTGGTCTTTTAAGACTTCTAAATATCTAAAATTAAGTTTGCAAAAAGTAATACTATTTATGACCTCTTCAAACTAAGAGCACATCATTGTTTAGTGACCATGACCAGTTAGACCTTTAATACAATCAATATTCAGAAAAGTGGTAAAAAGAGCAGCAAAAAAAGTAACTTTAGCATATGAGTGCATTCACAAGGAACAAACATTGCAGTTTACATGTCAATATATAACAAACCACTTGGCAAAGCAAAATTTTATTACAGATAATTGAGTAAAAAAGTTAAAAAAAAAAAACACTAAACAAATCTACAACTTAATTTAATTGCAACTGTGACAGGAAGGTGGGCAATAAAGGTGAGAGCAGGAAAAGGAAATACACTGATCAGGTATCATCTGGCTAATGGTGTTCTGGTTTTTCTTATGCTGCCATAACAGCAGCGATCTGTCAAGATATGGACTCATTAGACCCACGAAGATGTGCTGCGGTATCTGCGCTGACCAAGTTGTCAGCAGCAGATTCTTCAAGTCCTGTAAAATGCAAGATGGGGCTCCGAGGTCGAGATGTGTTCGTTTGCCACGTCCCATAGATGTTCTGCGAGACTGACATCAGGGGAATATGTAGTTAAACATGTTCTCATAAAATTGTTACTGAACCATTTTTGCTTGGTAGCAGAGGCACATTTTCCTGCTGAAAGTGAGCAAAACAGTAAGTGAATTTACACACAACAAACCACGATGATCTTGTGTGCCGACCCCTTTCTATCAGAATCAGCATAAACCTCTCTGGCAATTTGGATCAGACTACAAAAGTAAGTCTTTGCTCTCAGCAGCCAATGATCTCAAGGCAGGTTAACCACTGTTACTTCCCTGGAACATTTCTGATAGATACCGACTGCTGCACACTTGGACCAGCATACACAAGCTCGTGTTCTGGAGCTCCTCCACTATACAGCGCAGTATACCACAACATTAGCTGCTGAGGCCTTTTTTCTACCAGCTCACCTTTCATTGCTTTGCTATAGCTGAGCAGTAACATCCAGAGAAGATGGATCAACTCTTCCCACTTTCGCCAGCGCTCCAAGCCATCCTGGAAAACATATTGATGTTTCAGCTTTATAGAGACTTACTTGTTTTGCCATCTTTATTTGCTTGGTTTTCTCTTTAACTCAACTCGCTCGATAAGACTTACACATTCTTGTTTGGATCAATGTAGAAAAACATAGCTGAAAAGGCAATACACCATTTCTTCTGCACAACTTTTCTCACAATGGACAGTCAGTACAAGTCTGCAACAATCTGCTCTACTTGGGTGAGTTTGCACGAAACATAGTTTGATGAGGGTCGGGGGAAACGGACTACACCAGACCTCAGCTGCGGTCAGACAAATGTTTTGCGCTGTAAATGAAGGCAGTGGGTTTTGTGAACTGATTAGCAATCGAAGTGCAAATGCTTTGATGACAACCTATGAGAGGTGATTTTTTTTTTTTAAACTCTACTTGTAAACAATCTCAAAACAGGGAGATATTATATATTATCCTACAGTTTTAGATTGAGCAAAACACACATTAATGATAAACAAAAAACCCAAATACCTGCAAAAGTACTAAGAGATATAAATTTTAAATAAATCATGAGGGTTTATAAAATTAAAACATGTAAAAATTTTAAAAGTGAGGTAAAGGACTTTAAAAGTTTAAAGTGTTATAAATTTATAGCATAAAAACAAGTAGCTTTGACAGTGGTTCAGGTAGAGCTTAGTTTTAAGGAATCCACATATTTATGGATAAAACATTTTCGAATTAGAGCTAAATTGTTTAACGCAATCTTTTTCACCCTAACCCATATATTGCTGTCTGCTAAAATGGAAACAAATATTATACTAAAACTTGTTCAAAAACAAAAACCCCTACATAAAAAAATAAATGTTGCTCAACACAAGTATTTCAGAAAACACAGTCAATACTAACCAAATGCAATTTTCATTGGAGAAATTCAGCTGAGAACTAAATGATATTCTACGAAGTATTTATATTGCATCTCTTTTGTTTAAAGAGGGTATCAGAAGAAAAATGTAGTCTCTCTGAACTCTGTGAATATTCTTTATTTCTACCGCCAGCTGGTGTGCTTGTTTACCTCTTAAATCTCCCCCCTAAAGAGTTTCCAAGAGAGTTTAATGTGTTCAGGTGGCTCCAGTTGGTTTCAAAAACCCCGTACTCTGTGATCCCTGCAGCTGCAGTTTTTTTTAAGTCTGATCCCGTCTCTCAATTGTGAAACAGAAATCTCTTAGTGTCTTTTGCAAATCTGAGAGCTCCATGAAAGCTGCATTGTGTGCCCTTAATGTTGAAATTAAGTTCTGCTATTACCAAATTTGTAAGCAGTATTAAGTCATTATGATAAAAGGAGAAAATACACCAGCATGATATTTACCGTTGGGTCAGCAGCTAGAGTGCAGTTCTTCAGAAAGTGAAGCAGCAGCTTAAGCGACATGGGAATAGAGACCTTCTCTGGGCATGCATAGTCCAGCAACTGTTCCAACAGCTTACAGCTCAGCAGCTTACTCTGCAGGCTCTCCAACAACAACATCCTGCATATCACCAAACAGAAAAGTCTGAAAAACTGGGAACCAGTCCCCGTGCAAGTATGGTTGCAAAACAACTCAGGTGATTCAGTGGATTCATCTGCATATGTGAATTAGAACGCATTACTTTTCTGAGCATTCATAATGTAAAAGGAAAATGATGAAAAAAAAAAAAAAAAACCTTCATTTAATTTTAACATTCCCTGTAGTTATGAATTTATGGTAGTCCTAAGCATTCTTTGCCTGCTTGTCACCTGTGTGCTCTTAGAGGCATGTGGCTGAGGACCATATGGAAGAGCTCATCGGAAAGCTTGGCAGAGTTCAGAGCAGGAGAACGGTCAACCTCCAGGGCCAGAGACAGCATCCTTTGGAAGACGGACACTATTCTGCAGGGGACAAAGTGCAGCCAGAACGTAAGTGTGCAGAAAGCTAGAGAAGAGTGAAACAACAACAGGTTTTTATTTAAGGTTTTGTTTTTGTACCTTATTTGCTCATCCTTAATTTTGATTCCTTCTTTGCTGTCGTCATTTTCGGTTGTTTTCATAATGACACAAAACAGCCACTTGATAACATCTCTGTTGAGAGGAAAAGGTCAACAGACATTTTAAGATTATCCAAATAAATTTAAAACTACATTTAAATTAAACTGAAAATATTGTGAGTGAAGAGCACATGGCATCAAAAGGGAGTTAGCTCTTACGCAACGCAGAATCAATAAAGTCTAAAAACACAACATTTAACCCATTGCTTCCCAAGCTTTTTTAATGAGAGTCACAAATATATCAGTTAATGCTGGCATATGTCAGTAAAAATATATGTTTCGGCTGTAATCCAGTGTTGCAATGACCTCGCTCTTTTACTGGCAAGATTTATTTACATCTAATTTATGCTTTCTGAGGAAGAAGTTGGGCGATGTAACCAATGGGAACCATTTTAAGTTAGTTATGGTAAAACAAGTTCTCTTAAAACTCTTTCAAAAAGTTCTAAGATACCCCATGTATTTTTAAGAATGAATTTGGTTTATTTTTTAAGGTTCATTATCCTTTTTTTCATTGGCATCAGAGAGTAAAAGAAAAACCATAACAACTGTGATAGATATTGACCATCAGCCAAAATGTAATTTATAGCATTCAAATAATTGAATTTTGCAGCCCAGGCATTACGTTACACCACGTATACTGTAGTTTTCATAAACGGACAACTCTTACTTTCTGAAATTTGATAAGGAATAAGTAAAACATGCAACACAGATACTATTGCATAATGTCGTGATCATGAGATCAGCTCACGTTTCCCCCAACTCTTTCCCTTCCTCATAATGCATTTTCTGAGAGTTTCCATCAAGTTCCCCATAAATATTGTTACCATATAGAATGTGGATGTATGGCTTGGGGGGAAAATCATATCCAACCAAATATTGCATCTAAGGTGTCCTTTGCAATTGTTATATGGCAAACTTTAGTACTGTGATGTTTTCTTTGTGCAGCTCTAAATTTGATGTACAAAAATTATATAAAACTGCATTCTGTGTGTGCATGCTTTTAATTTTTCCATTCTGTTGCCTGTACTGGGGAAACAATACTTCACGAAAGAAATAAAGTATTTGTGTTTGTCTGCACACATTTCCTCAAAACACTCCCACTTAATCCTGTCTTTTGATGTTTGTGAGACAGCTCAGGAACTCCAAATATGGGCTAAGGACATATTTTGGTAGCCCTACGTGTCCGTTTTCATTTGCCAATGCATCCAATGGGAAGCAATGAAGCAAAGTAAATAGGTCACATCGTCACCAAGGCTAAGATGATTGTTAGAAACATTATGTGTTATCACTTTTACAGTAGTAGTTAGTTTGTTTGTTTTTTTTATTTAAAGGGTTTTAGCTTTCTACTGTGTGTGAGCTGATATTAGGTTGAAACCCGTGTCTTCCCATTATTTAAAAGAATGTCTTTGAGATATGATTATCTATAACAGGAGGCCCCATCTTCCTTTCCGCCCTCATGTGAAAGAATTAACTGTGTGAAAAGACAAAACTTGCTTTTCCCTCAACCGTGAATCCTTATCTACCGGGATACTTCTTTCTTGTGAAACTGCCTGCGTGCAGAAGCAGTTTCTGTTTTCCCCTCTTGCCTTTCCTCCCTCTCTCTCCCTTTTCTTGATAATAAAGACAAGCTTTGACCAGAGGTTTTCAGAACATACAGTGAACAGCGTGGAGAAGAGGTTTACTGTACTTTCTCCTTTTGCAAAAGCCTGGTTGAAAATTGATACACGTTGTCTGTGGTTCTTTTATGTAGGTTGAGAAAATGATTGCCTTACCCTAAGTAAGTAATTGGATGGTTTTATGTTTGGGATGATGTAATCAGGGTGCAATAGTTAACAAAATGGTTCTAATGTGCCCTCTGGGCAGTTCTTGCTACACAGTAAACATTTCAGCTGCTTAGGTGTGAAAACATCAGCAGAAATAGAAATGCAGAACTTAAGGCTACAACCTCTGCAAAATGCAGACCCCGGCTTGTTCATCTTACCTGACCCGAGAAAACTGCCGGTCACATGACAGAGTTGCCTTTGCGATGGAATGGCTGAGGGAAGATGAAGAGCATCTGGCAGTAAAGTCATCCTCTAAAGTCTGCACACAGTACTCCAAAAGCAGGCAGATAATGTCCCATTGATTTTCCTTTTTGCCATCCTAACAGTGAAAGAAGGCAACAAAGACACCAGCTTATTTTTTTTTTTTTACTTCATATTAGAAATATCAACAAAATAGTACAATCTTTTTAAATATAAATATCAAATCTGAGATTAATTTATTATAGAATGTTACAAACACTTCTTTTTCCCCTGTGATATTAAAGGACTACATATTCTCACATCTTGTTGCTTGCTCTGCTCAAGCTGATTGGACATAACCGAGGTAAGCAACTCCCAATCCCACGGAACAGAGGATCTATTAGCCCGGTGGTGTCTGGAAGAAAAAAGCACATTTAAATCAAAGGCTGAGAATAAAATTCTGACACAAAGCTATGAAATGTTTTGAAAAATAATGTTTCTTGTGCTTTTCTCTGACCTCTGAGTCCTCATAAGCAGATTATAAGCCTGCAAGCTGAGATGATAGGGACAGTGTGGGTCAAGCAGGATACCACGAAGAAGGTGGGTGGTTATATCTTTGGGAGGATAGTATCCAGGCTGCAGTAGGTCAGACAGCAGCTGCAAAGTGCCTTCTGGGTAGTTCTCCTCGATTGTACTATAGACCAGACTCAGGCTCTGACGACACAGCACCTCAGGAGCTTTAGGGTTTAAATTATCTTTATCGATCTATGAAAGAAACATATTTTTAAAATAATTACTTTGTTTCATCTTCTTTTTAAGCAACCCTATCCACTGTGTGTGTGTGATAGGAAAATAAACTTGCCTCCATTCCAACTGGTGGCAGGTGACAGAGAGAAATGTCATTCTTACAGCCAAGGGAAGCAAAAAGTCATGCATAAGTTCATCAAAACACTGACGAACTTAAAAAGTATAAATTACAGAAACACTTCACCAGGGGTGGGCTATCCTGGTCCTCGAGAGCCGGTGTCCTGGAACTCCTAGATGTCTCCCTGGTCCAACACACATGAATCCAATAGCTGAATCACCTCCTAAGTGCAGTCAAGTTCTCCAGAGTCCTGCTAAATGACCTCATTATTTGACTCAGGTGTGTTGAAGTAGAGATGTACCTAAAAGCTGTAGGAGACCGGCCCTCGAGGCCTAACTCAGACTGATCCCTTTATGATCAATCTGAGTTAGACTGATCATAAAGGGATTGGTTTTGAAACCAATAATTTGTTACTTGAGATTTTATTTGAAATATACGTTTCAATATGTGATTTGGTTCCTACTGAAATCATGAACTGAAATTAAAGGTTCTTTTTGTTTTCAACAAAATCATTGCAAGAACATGGTACTGAACTAAAATAAGAAAAACGTTCTACGTCTTTAACAAGCAGCCAATACATTTGTTTGCATCTGTATAAAGAAGCTTTGAGAGCTATAGAAAATAAAGCATAAACATGGAGTTTCCTACCAGGACTTGATGGTGTCCAGCCATTAATTTCTTAAGAGTGATTGGGCACACATGTCTACGATCCTCTCTACTGGCCTCTCGGAAATCTGTGCAACATCTGCTCTCTTCATTCATGTCTTCTCTATCGCTTTCTCCTTGCCAAGGCAAGGACACCGGACTATCACCTCCGGTATCCTCTTCATAGGTCTGTGACTGCAGCTCCCACTCATGCATCTTTTCACTAGGCATGTAGGGAGACCTGGGTGATTGGCCACCTCGGTTTGTATGATTGAGAGGACTGGAACTTGGGTATGAGACAGAGTCAGCCTTAGAACTTTGAGAAGACTGAGAGGAAGGATGATTGGAGGGAGATCTTTGTCCAGAATCTGAATTATCTAAATCCAGCTTTTCCAAATTGGAGCAAATAGCTTCTTTTTGAGGTTTATCTTGATATGAAGTTGATGATGGAATCATGTCAGATGAATGAAAGCCATCTAGCTTATTTTCCATAGTTTTGTGCTGCTTTAAGTTTGCATCATCATGTCCCACAATAGGACAGTCAGTTGGAATTTGTAGGTCCTGCGTTGCTTGATCTTGCAACAGGTTGTTTGTATATTCCTGGGGGGTTTCATGTTCTTTTGTTGTAGTTTTCAACATGATAGGAAGACACTTAGGGACCGCGGGTTCTGTGAGAGAAACATATAATGTAGAAGAAACTATGTCTGAACTAGTTGCAGATTCTTGTGCTTCAAAGCGATTGTTTGGTTTAAAACACTGTGACATCTGTGGAGAATCTTTGGTTAGCTGAACACAACTGCCTGATCTTTTCAGATTCTTGATATGCGACTCGATGAAAGGCAATTGATCTAGTTCCACATTAGGTGCATCCTGAGAGGGTTGTATTGCAAGGTTCTGCTTCTGTGGTTGCATCGGCGAATTCAATCGTCTCTGCTTTGGACTTTGGGTGCCACAGTCCTGCTGCAGAGGGAAGATGTGGGAGTGTCCGGAAGAGTTTTCTTGTAGTTTAAGACCTTGGCCATTTAAGACATTATTTTTATTCACAATGCTTTGGTTGAACTGACTGTCACCAACTTCAAAGCAGTCCTTTATTTCTGGCTTTGTCACTCTTGTCTCAGTCAAGTCAAGGGAGCTCTTTGTCTCTGGCTTTGTCTCCTTTATCTCATTTGCAGTCAAGTCTATAACAGATGAGCCTGGGATGTTAAACCTTGGGCGCAGCTTGAGCTCTGGACAAGCCCATCTTGGATCAGTGAGGTCAATGTAATGCTAGGGAAAAAGAGGGGAAATGTCACCAAAATGAGCAGAATACTTGCAAAATGTGACAGAAAAGAAAGACAAATGTAGAGATGGGCATATGAAATAACAGATGTGTGATAAACATGTGTCCCTCTTATGTATAT